GCTACAAGTCTTTGAAGCAAACAAACATGCTTGAACATTTTAGACCTTTGTAAATACCTGAACTGAAAGTTTTTATTTGTAAATACATACAGGCTGTTTAGATTTCACAATTATAATGATGTTTTCTTTGCTGTACACCTTTTGTTTACATTTCTATCTCATTAATAAACATGTTTTCGATTATCCGGACTCTCGATTATCCGGACTATTTACCGAGGTCCCTAAGAGTCCGGATAATCGAGGTTCGACTGTACATATAAATGAAGTGACCTGCCTTTAGCACCAGCCAGAATCCAACAAGTGTGAAGTGAATGACTGCATATTGTCAGAAATTTCCCAGCATAAGTGAAGGAGAAAGAAATAGCTATTACAGAATGCTTTAGCCAGATACCTTGGCTTCACAAATTTCTCATTATGGGTACACAAGGAGGCTGGGTTAGGTGTTTAGAAATCAAATGGTTCAGGTAGCTCACTATTTTATCACGGACTTTCCCTTTTGCTTTTGCACCCACCCTAGCAAACAAACAAGGGACTGCATAAAATTAAACCCTTTACCTGAGGATCATTATTAGTGTCAGCCACTTTGTGCAGATCAAGCAAGGTTTGATTGACGTGCTTCTCCAAGTCCAATGCTGCCTGGCATGCTTCCAGTCCACTTCCCCAGTCATCCCTCTCTGGTTTCTGTAGAAGCAAATAACAATTATTGTTGAGCATTTTCACAACATTTTATGAACAAAACTTGTTATGTGCTCGAAAACGGGGGGGCGGGGGGAGGGGGAGATCACACAAGAACTGATATGAACAGTGCATGAACTTGGATAGATATTTCTACCCTCAACAGTACAAAAACAGGAATAAAAGCTTTTTCCTCAAATAATTACACACACCAGTCATAGATTCCGTAGAGTAATGCACAAAATCAAAGAATTGTCAGTTTTATGATAAATGTCATTGGCAGATTACTCAAACACTTCATGACAGCTATTGTGACAACTCAACCGTGATTCAATTTTAAAACAATACTAGCTTCACACTGGCTTTATTTCAAGAATTGGCAAAACTTGAAAAAATCATTTCGCTTTGCAAACATATAACTATTATTTCGCATCGATACGATTCGCAACTTCTGTGAGTGAGCATTTTAAACTCCCTGTGTCTCAAACAACTCCCGTCAATATTACGTAACTATTACACATGGCATATTTCATTTTTACTGAAAAGTTTAATCTGGCATTTAGCCAGTATTGAAAAGTTAAATCTGGCATTTTTGTCATCAGTTCATGTCTCTCGACACGTCCACCACGTCCAGGGCCACTGTAAAGGCAAACAAACAATAAATGGATTCTAGATCGATCAGAGTTACGAGTTTTGAGCTTAAAACGACGATGCCAGTTTCTTTCCAAATAGTAACTTTAGTTCCTGATCTCCCTACTCCTGCTTACCGCGATGTCTTGCAACACAATGCGACCTCCACGCTGATTCTGGTATTTCATCAGCTACAATTTCAAAAGAAAGAGACAGGTTAGGACAAGGATGAAAAGAAGATGGCGACGCGAAGCTAAGTGTGCAAGCGAGTTTCAGAGCTTTACCTTTTGAGCGTGTTCGCGTTCTTCGTCCGACTGTTTCAGCATGAACTTGTGGAATCCTTGCAGCGCCACATCATCACGATCGAAGTGATAGGCCTTTTAAGCAAGAAAAGAACGCACTTAGTTCAAGTTCACTAACGGAAAGAGTGTTTCGCTCAAACGCGATTTCAAAACCTACCATGGACATGTACACGTAACTAGCGTACAACTCGAGGTTGATTTGCTTGTTAATACCGGCCTCGCACTCTTCTTGGTAGTTCTGACGGCACTGAGACATCTTGGTCGTTAAAGGTGTAGTGAGAGATCGGTAAGAATACGACGTAAATATCTTGGTGAAAAAAATGCCTCGTTCAATCACTGTTGAAGCGAAACAATCCAAAATGGCGAATAAAGTAAGAATCGAAGCTTATTACCTCCCTCATCACGTGACTCACGTGATACAAAAGATGTCAAGAGCTGATTGGTTAATTTGGCTTTAAGGGGTGTCGTCAATGAAACACGTGAACAGAAAATCTGCTGCGTAATTACTCCGCAGCTAAAATTAGCTAAAATTAGCTAAAAGTACTACGTAATGCAATGTGAATAAGCACGACCGTACATGCACAAAAGGATCATAAATCAAAAGATAAAATGAAAAATAATAAAAATAATAGTAATAATAATAAAAATTATACCAACCTTCCAAGCATTCTATAATTTTGATAACCAAATTCAAAGAAAATCCTTGGGAATTACGCGTTTGAATGTAATAAACTGTGGACGGTGGGGAGGGGTGGGAAGGGGTTAATTGACTTGACTTAGGCGGTGGGGAAATATTTGATCCCGTAAGAGACAGCCCAGTAGGTGGTCGCTTACGGGAGATGGTCGTTTACGAAAACTAAGACCATATTAGGCACAATTTTGCCTCATTAACATATTGAAACTGCAGAGACTTACCTCATGTCTGAAGTGTTTTATTCATGCGACAACTAAATGCGAGAAAAAATCCGGTACTTTCCATTGAGAAATTTCCATCTATTGTACTACCGTGAATACAATAATGTTACAGTGCCTTATTATCCAATTTACGCTCTGTCAAGTGGTCGCTTAGGGGAGGTAAACAAAAGAAAATTTCAAACTTTTAGCTCTAAATGTGGTCGCGGTCACTTACGAGAGAAGTGGTTCCAAATATAATGATTTGACTTGTAAACGTTTGGTGTTTTCGAAAACTGGTCGCTGAGGAGAGGTGGTCACTTACGCGAGGTTTTCGCAACCGGAGGTTCGACTGTATTTTTATTTTTTTTTTTTCCTGAAATCTTTATTTCACATGCTGTACATTTTACATATAATCCAGTGCAGTTCCATTTTGTTTCTTGATACTACACGCAAGCAGTGACTGGTAAGTCAAACATGTCACGAAAACTATTTCATAAGTTAGTTGTCTCGACCATCTCTTAGAGTGAACTTGTCGAAATGGTACTCGCCCAAGGACCCCGCGCCAATCCGTCCAAGAGTCATGACGTAATCAGCCAGCTGCTTAATACGATGTGTCTGCACGGTAAAGAAGTTAGCTTCGATGAAATCCGTCATCTGTCCGTGAAGAAAGAAGAATGATTTTTTTTTTAAGTGTATATGATGCTGTGGGTGGGCACACAGACACTAGGTACTAGGTAGCCTGCGAACAGGCTCCCGGCCGGTCTCTGAATTCTTGTGTTTCGCGCTCGCCGAAATTTTTTTCCGTCCTCGCCGGGAGCCTGTTCGCAGGCTAACACTAGGGGACATGTTGATGAAGCGGGAACATGTGGCAGCGACTGTTTTCCTCGTGTTACATGCCCGTTTTGGCGAAAGAGTTTCGTCGCGCGGACTGTACGAAATTCAACTAGTTTGACTTCCGAAGCAGAAGCAGCGGCAACCTGACCTCAGTTTTCAATGTCGCATCGTGTGCAAACTGTCCTCACTAGAACACAGAAATGAACCAATAACAGCTTCTTGCGCGTGACCAGCTTGCGTACTGCCTCTGTAACATGCGTACCATGCCTACACACGAAGGGCCTTAGCTTGTCCCTGCTTCTCGTCGTCGTAACATGTCCGGTTATTGTGTGCGATCTTAAACAATTTCAGGAGAAGCAACAGTGGCTTACAGCAGATCATGCGAAAGCATGGGCTACAAGTCAAAGTGGTTTCCACATACAGTCGAACCTCCCGTAAGCGACCACCCAAAGAGTCAAGCCGAGGCGCCAGTGGTCGCCTGCCGCAGGTGGTCTCTTATGATAGCTTAGCCATATTGGGTCAAATTTTTGCATCATTAGCACATGGTAACTGCAGAAACCCACATTTTAAATGTTTAGTTCAAGTGAAAAGTCATTCCAGAAAAATCCAGTACTTCCCATTGACTATAAATTGTTTAGGCAAGCAACCGGAACGATGATCCTGCTGGTATACGTTGGATCAATAGCGATCTAATCGGCTTTACATATAAAATGAAGAATACAAAAGCAAAAACCGACACAACGTAGAATGATTTTTTGAAGGTGTACTATATTTCGGCTGGCCAGACCAGCATCCTTCAGGTACAATGGAAGATTTTACATTGGTGCGTGTTTTTATGTAGCCGATATTTACGTAATACCGGAAATACGCAAAAGTAATTGATGGTGTAAATTGAAGATAAGCATACGGTAAAATAAAATAACATGATAAAAGAACATAATAAAAGAAAACAAATGGAAACAATTAATATGTTTCTTCG